AGTAGTAGTAGTAGCAGCAGTAGTAGTAGTAGTAGTAGCAGTAGTAGTAGTAGTAGTAGCAGCAGCAGCAGTAGTCGTAGTCGTAGTCGTAGTAGTAGTAGTAGTAGTAGTAGTAGTCGTCGTCGTCGTAGTAGTAGTAGTAGTAGTAGGAGTAGTAGTAGTAGTAGTAGTAGTCGTCGTCGTCGTCGTCGTCGTAGCAGCAGCTATTTTCCTTCGTTCTGGAGCCTTGTCGCCTCCAGGATGGACTTCCGCCCTTCCAGCATGGCGGTTCCTGCTCCTTTGGGGGTGCCGAGCCCCCCCTGCGACATCGGCCTTCGAGGTTCGCTCCTCCTCGAGGCGTGCTCTGTTCGATCCTCCTCCTTCGATGTTCGATCCTCCTCGATGTTCGATCCTCCTCAATGTTCCTCGAGACGTTGCTCTGTTCGCTCCTCCTCGATCTTCGATCCTCCTCCTTCGATGTTCGATCCCCCCCCTTCCGCGGAGGCTGTCGAAGTGGCTGTCGCACCACAACAGGCTCTCCCACTCCGCGGTGGGCCACGGGACGACCGTGGCGGTTACGCCGCAGGCCGCGAGCAGTGACATTTTGCCGCCGTCGCCGTCACCACCGCTGCTGCTGTCGGCCAGGGTCGAGGAATCTGGGCCTCCGAGATCGGGTCCGAGTGGGTTGCGTCGGAGGATCTCACCGCATCCGGGGACGTTTGCGATGCATCGCGCCGCCCCTGGCGCGGGGCTCAGCGCGGATCGGCGCGCCCTGCGCGCCAGTGAGGGGGGGTTCGGCGCAGATCCCAGAGATCTGCGCGGACCTCCGAAGCTTGATGCTTATGCAGTCTTTTGCATGTCTCCAGTCGCCGTCGTCGTTGCTATCGCCTCGGGAGGGGGAATCGATGATTGAGAGTTTTCGGCTACATCGAAGGTTTACGGCCCGGAACTTTTGTGTAGCATGTCGCGCCGCCAGTTTTGGCCCACCACGCTTAGGCGAGACACGCTAACCCTAGGAGGTCTTTAGTTTTGCTCCCCCTCTGTTTCTCCCAGCGGGGGACGAACTCGCCCCTCCTCCTCCTCCTCCTCCTCCTCCTCCTCCTCCGCCTCCTCCTCCTCCTCCTCTTCCCCATCCCCCTGCTCCTCCTCCTCCTCCTCCTCCTCCTCCTCCTCCTTCTCCTTTCCCTCCGCCTCCTCCTCCTCCTCTCCTCCTCCTCTCCTCCTCCTCCTCCTTCTCTTTCTCCTCCTCCTCCTCCTCCTCCTCCTCCTCCTCCTCCTCCTCCTCCTCCTCCTCCTCCTCCTCCCATCCTCCTCCTCCTCTTCCGCCTCCTTCACCTCCCTCTCCTCCTGCTGCTCCTCGTGGTCGCCAAGCCCCGGGCCCCCGCGCCTCCGCGTCTCGAGCCTAGGTCAGCTTGCCGCCCCACGGAGTGGGGAGACACGCCATCCGCTCGCAAGGCATACACTGCCATCGTCTGTTAAAAAACACCTCCCGACCAAGCTGGGTCTCAAAATGTATGAAGCTTCAACTCCGAATTCCAAAAAAGCTGACCCAGTTCCTAAGCCTCTGGACCCTTGCCCGAATCTTCCGCCAGATCTCAGAGCTGGCCCTCGCAAGAGTTTAAAGACATTCAGCGAAGCTGGGCCTCGATTTCTTAGTCGAATATTTCTTACCCGAAGTTTTGAGTGTACAGCCAACCCGTCGAATGAGGACCTACGATCAGGATGAGAGGGCCTTGGAAGGCCATGCCGACACGTTGCGCGCGGGGCTCGGCCGCTCGGCCAGCGAGAGTGGCCAAGGATGGGCCGAAGGGGAAGGAGGCCAGGGGAACTTCGGGAAGTAGCTCATCCGTCCTATGCGGGTTGACTGTAGCGTGTCGCCGGGGCCGCGGCCACGACAATGTGAGCAGAAGTTCCCGATCGCTCCTCCCTGAAGCCCGACGCTGCGAAAGAGGTGCAACATCGCGAAGGATCACGACTGGAGCCCCAGACCCCATCTTCCTGCGTCATCGTCGCCGTCGTCGTCGTCGTCTTCTTCGTCGTCGTCGTCGCCGTCGTCGTCGTTGTCGTCCCCTGAGATCTGGGCGTTGCAAGTTTGTCACACTGGGCGGTTTCGCCGCTTTTCGGGCGCTGGGACCATCATGGATCGGTCTGGTTCGAAAAATGCCGTAGAACAAAGGGTCTAAGGTTGGGGTCGTCAATTCTTGCTCTTGTTTTTGCCGCCGCCGCCGTCGTCAGTGTCGTTGTCGCTATCGCTGTCCCCAGTTCCATATCTCTTATTGAACGTCCCCTGGGGCTGGCTTCTCTGAGACACTTTTTGGAGGGCGCGCGGGGAACGGATCACTGGGGCCTCTTAGGCGGGTCTTGGGAGCCTCCGGGGCCGTCCTGGACGCCCTGGAGACCATAAAGCAGAGCATGCGAATCCACGCAAGAACCGAATGCTTTTCCATGATTGGAGCCTTTGCCTGCAAGATGGCCCAAGGGGCCTCCAAGAAAGCCCCAGGATGGTCCCTTGTGGCTTCCGAGGGTCCCTGAGCCTTTCTGAGCGCTTCTTGTGCGGATTAGGGGGACGTTGGAGTCGGTTCAGGCGCGGTGTGCTTCCGGAGTGCTGCTTCTTGGTGCCGCTGTCGCGATACCAAGCAGAACCAACAATGACAGCACAGTCAACGCACCCAGTAAGGACGCGCGCCTTCATCTGGGGTGCCCTTGTGTCCATGCCTCTGCGGCCCATCCTTTGCCGTTTTCACTGGTCGCCCGCCGGCCAACAGATTCCGACTTCGGCCTCCAAGGGTCGTGCGTCCTTGCCACCAGTCCTTAACATACGTTTTGACCGTACAGTGCCGTTTTTAATACATACTCCGCGTACGGATCGTGTATCATAAATGCAGGGGTTTAGTATTTAAAACAACGATGAGTTCGTGCATACATTCATTCATAAATTACTCATGCATTAAAAATCCTCTATGTCTCAAAATCCCATGTATTAAAAACTGCCGTGTACAGATATAGATCGCCAATATATTTCCCAACCATCCTGTGGTGTTGGGTCCTCGTTTTGAAGAGACGGTGGCCCGCGTCTCCTCTCCTCCTCCTCTCCTCCTCCTCCTCCTCCCTCCTCCCTGCGTTTCACCCACCCAGTGCATCGTTTCGTGGCCCCGTAGGGAGCTCCCCCGAAGGCCCCAGTGGCAGGGTTCGCATGGCGGCCTCGGGCCATTTCGGCACACCCCTCACGAGGATCGTGGCCCCATAGGGAGCTGCACCGAAGGCTCCAGTGGCAGGGTTCGCATGGCGGCCTCGGGCCATTTCGGCACACCCCTCACGAGGATCGTGGCCCCATAGGAAGCTCCACCGAAGGCCAAGAGTAGCAGGGTTCGCATGGCGGCCTCGGGCCATTTCGGCACACCCCTCACGAGGATCGTGGCCCCATAGGGCGCTCCACCGAAGGCGCCCAGTGGCAGGGTTCGCATGGCGGCCTCGGGCCATTTCGGCACACCCCTCACGAGGATCGTGGCCCCATAGGGAGCTCCACCGAAGGCCCAGTGGCAGGGTTCGCATGGCGGCCTCGGGCCATTTCGGCACACCCCTCTCGAGGATCGTGGCCCCATAGGGAGCTCCACCGAAGGCCCCAGTGGCAGGGTTCGCATGGCGGCCTCGGGCCATTTCGGCACACCCCTCACGATGATCGTGGCCCCATAGGGAGCTCCACCGAAGGCGCCAGTGGCAGGGTTCGCATGGCGGCCTCGGGCCATTTCGGCACACCCCTCACGAGGATCGTGGCCCCATAGGGAGCTCCACCGAAGGCGCCAGTGGCAGAGTTCGCATGGCGGCCTCGGGCCATTTCGGCACACCCCTCACGAGGATCGTGGCCCCATAGGGAGCTCCACCGAAGGCGCCAGGGGCAGGGTTCGCATGGCGGCTCCGGGCCATTGCGGCACACCCCTCACGAGGATCGCGGCCCCATACTTGTGCTGCTCCAACAACCGCGCCTGGGCGTCGTACTCCGCTTTGTCGACGTGCAACGCCACCTCCTCCCTCGTGGCTCTCAAGGCCCTCTCCTGCTTGTGCTCCTCGGTGAGAGGGGCGCCGTCCTTGTCGTCGTCGGCGCCCGCGAAGACGGCCACGAACGTGTACCTGAGCATGTCGGGCTCCGGCGGGAAGCCGTGGCCACATAGGGAGCGCGGGCGAAGATGGTATTCACAATTGCGGTATTCACAACTGCGTATGGTTGGGTCCTTCGCCAGGCTAATTTTGTGGGGGAGGTGCCCCGAGCATGTCCTCTTCTAAAGGGGGGGCAGCCTGCCGGCGCCCAGAAGGGAGCCCAGACGCCGAGCAGCAGATGGCTTGAGGCAGCCAGGCCTGTGCATCGTCGTGGTGCGCCATGGTTACTCAAGGGGCCCAGGGACACACACATAAATACGTTTTTTTGATCCGCGGGTCGAGAGCGCACCTCTTCCGGTCGAAGCTAAGCGGGCCGCGCACAGCTTTGATTAACAAACGGGGGGGGGCAGAAGGAGGGGCCTCACGTCAAGGGAAGCACACATAAATACACATAAATAACAGGATTCCCCATATTTTCGTATGTTTTCTGTTTTTTTGTCTTCCACCCCACTTCCCATGTTTTCCCATATTTTCGGGAGAGTCGACGATTAGTTGTGTCTGTGTGCTTTTTCCCCTCCTGAGCCTCGTGGAAAAGGCCATCCGGGAGACCAACTCCGTCGCTGCGCACCGTGGTCGCGCTCGTTGACCGTTGCCCCATGCTCACGGCCCTGGCCTTGGCGATCACGATCCGATTCGGCTTGCTGTGCCCCTCGCCCGAGTCACCGTCGTCGCCATCGTCGTCGTCATCGCGGTCGTCATCATCACCGTCACGAGACGCATTCCCGATCTCGCCCAGGGAGGGCCAGATTGTCAAGCCGCCCCCCGTGGAGGGGGGTGGGACGGAATACTCATGGGGGGTGGAGGGGGGTGGAGCCGCCCCCCGTGATCGTCATCATCACCGTCACGAAACGCATCCTTAGGAAAACAAGAAGTGACACAAACATGAAAACTCGGAGGTCCGCGCGGATTTCTCGGATCGGCGCTGGACCCCCCTCCCTGGCGCGCGGAGCGCGCCAGGGGCGGCGCCGGAGGCGCCGCCGGGGGGCCCCAGCGCGATCCGAGAAATCCGCGCGGACCTCTCGAGTTTTTATGTTCATGTCACTTTATGTTCCCCTGATTCTCGATCTCGCCCAGGGAGGGCCAGATCGTCAAGCCGCCCCCCGTGGAGGGGGGTGGGGCGGACTACTCAGGCGCGCAGAAGCAAGGTTGGGCGCATGGTTTTTTCCCAACCGTTCCGTGGTGTTGGTCTTTCGCTCTGAAGAGACAGCGCCCCGCGTCCCTTCCTCTCCTCCTCCTCCTTCCCCTCCTTCCTCCCCCCTCCTCCCCCTCCTTGCCTCTGCCCTCCGCACGTCTCTGTTTCGGCACACCCAGTACAGCGTTCCGTAGCCTCACAGGGAGCTTCACCGAAGGCCCCAGTGCCAGGGCCCGCATGCCGCCACCTCGTCATGTCGGCACACCCCTCACACGCTTCGTGGCCCCGTAGGGAGCTCC